TTCAGCATAATAATTACCTATATACATATAGTCTACATGAAAAGTATTTGGTTCATTTCTGTTGTGTTTTTTGTTAACTGATGATGGGTTGAAGGTAACCCGAAACATGTCTTCTATTAAATCTTTTGCGTTATTTTTAAAATGCGTTGTATTTTTTGTCAACTGACGTCCATTTGGTTCTATTATCAAGGATTTCAGTTCAAGAAGATTACCAGTTTCGTTATTAAGAAAATATGAAAAGATTACTCTTCGTTTGAACAAAGCCGAATTGGATTTTAATTTTTTACATAATTGCAAGGCATTCGGAGTTTTTCCTAAATTTATTGACTACATAAATATAATCGAATACGTAACTAATTAACCAACATGTTAGACTTCCTTGTAGCAATGACGTCATAATAAATACTAATCCGCTCACTGCGTTCACACATTGGTATTTAGAGAGTTAAGACTGAACTCATGAACTTAGTAAAATATATAAGAAGCTTTGTAAAGTGGCCGATCGTTACTCGTGTTCACGCGGTAAACACGCATTCATTCATAGGCCTAAGCTTGTAATAATCCAGCGGTCTCCCACTTACTGTAAGTTAGACGTGTCGTCAATTATGAAAGTACAGTATAAACTTATCAAGCGAGTTGAAAACTGCTATTTAGATGAATCAAATCTAAGTACGGCCTACTAACGGCTATTTACGTTGTTACCATAGTTCCTGCAGTGGACGAATATATTTGGCATTGATAACAATTCCCATTGCGATATTTTATATGGTTCAGCTTCGTAGCGCACCAACACTGAATTCAGTGTAGCCCTACACAGGCACTACCATCCCTCGTAAATCGGTCTACCCTGGGGTTAGATGCGATTATCTCCCGCAGCGAGCGATCAATCATTAATATATCTCATGGATTATAATAGAAAGATGGGAAACTGATGCCATTGGACGAATGTTGTACAGTAAAGTTTGATGACGTAATAACCGCGATTGCCCACATTGCAAACATGAATGAATGAACTGACTCATCGTCTAATTCCGGTACAAGATTCCCATTTATTCCCTCCAGATATCATACATATTTTCTTATGACTAAAACGGCATTCAAACCTCGGAAAAATATTGTGGGCCCAGTTGATAAGCATCGCAGAGCTGCTGATTGTGCAAAATATGTCACTGTTTTGTTATATATAGGCCTAGGCCTATCGTACTACGTTTGTGCTGACAGTCATAATTATGAATAGATAATTTCTTGTGTATGCGTGTGTCATGGATAAAGTGCATAATATTCCACCAGATATAAATCTAAACTGAGACAATTTTAACAAGGCGATATAACTGGCTGCATATATAATCAGTTACAATGCTTAGGAGGGGACCAGGTCAATTTTCTGTGTTTGATAAGGGTATTATAAATGACAAATTAATTCCAGGTGATCCCTTCCTTCCTTTGCCGTTCATTGCATTTCCTTTCGTGACATTATACTACCTTAAAGGAAAAAGTAGTCTTCATTATTCACGACCGCAATGTCGTAACTGTTACGGTCCGGCATAATGCCAGGGTCTGATAGAGCTGACATTCGATTCATGCAAGGTGAAGGGAAAGCAAAACCATGGCAAAACCAAGGCCTCATAACAGTATCTTAAAGTGAGAGAAGAATGAGAGGACAGGAGATAGAGTGGCTCCCACACTCAAGCAAGCAAGCAACCATCTCCTGGAAAATAACCCATCTCAACTCCCGCAAATTGATAACATTTGCATGTTTTTACTACTGTATTATCAACTGTCTCACGGAAGTCCCTGTCGATGGGTATCGCCATGCGAAGTAAAATAAAATAATGTTAAATGTTAAGGAAGCTCATTCAACCAGATCTCCCGGACGGATAGAATTTCTTCCAACCCCTGAGATGCCTGCAGTTTACTTCTATTGGAGCCCGGTATAGAAAGGGGGTGGGGGAAGGGTCCAGTAGATAAGATCTATATAGTCCTTAACCAAGTGTTTAATTTATAAAGGTAACTGGGGAGATCTCTCGTGATCATGATATCTCTCCCACTCTCACCCTTGTGGGAACACTTCAGGCCAAATTTCTTCGGTCGACAAAATCAGTACCGTCGTATGGGGATAAGTTTCTAGGGATTGTAGCCTAAATTTCTGAAATCGGGCACAGGGGCATGTTTTTTAGTAACCATTGTATTGTCTATACATTTGAATATTTAATAAGCTGTCACTTATAATTCGTAGCTGTAAAGACCTTGGATGTGAGCCAACAAACCCACTAATAGTTTTACTGTAGGCCTAGTGGACGTCCACATCATATGGTCAGACGTGGTCAACGGTTGAAATAATCTAACTCTATATGGCATGTTTACAACCAAAAATATCGCTTCCTCTTCCCCTAAAGTGCTCAACTTGGCATAACCACACACGAACTTTCGATATTGCAAACCAAACTACTTCCGATGGCTGAGATAGTAGGCCTATGAGTATTTTCTACCCATACTTTAATAAATTTAGAAACTCATTTATAGGCCAAAGACTGATAGATTATCGAGGTAAACGTATAGATAAGATGTATTATAATTTAATTGTAGCCTAGACAGTCTAGGGAGCTACCGGTAGCTCGAGGAAATGTAAAGGGTTAATGCAAACGGTGGTGGCCATTTGAAAAGTTTCTCGGAGGCGTTCTGGTGCAAATTATTGATTGTCGTTTTGTTGTGTGACTTAGGTTATAGCTACTTACATACTTAGTTCTTAATTACCTATTAATTCCCTATTGTAGGCCTAAGCGGCAATAATGTGCAAGTCCCGGGGTGACAGCGTTCTTATCAAAAAGCTTTTGTTAAAGCAAGGCCGGCATAGTTCGTCGTGATCTGGATGAAATTTCATAAAGAAATTAATCAATCTGGAGGACGTTCTTTTAATGTTATTAATGTAGATCACCTGATTGCAATAATAAACCATTTAGATTTAATGCCAATATCCATAGTTACACCATGAGCATATTGTCAGTCTATACATTTTTTCCATCGCAACGGACCTAAGCGTCATATGGCTTATTCGATTTTTTTTCAAAAACTATTAAACCGGGAACAGTAAAATTACACTGTTTTCTGCTATTATTAAACTAATCACCCGTCAACGATTATCTGAGCATTAACACAGATTGTGGGCTAACACTTAGGCCTAATCAACTTGAACAATAATGGACTGTTTGCAATTTTTGGAGATTGTTTACGTTATTAATTTAATATCAATGTTTATTTATAGGTTGATGTACGTTCTTTTAAATTTTACTACTTCAAGGAAACACAAGTTTACGAATGGGGCTTAGTTAACAAAATTATTAACTATTTTATCATTTTCATGTCCAAACAATTTCATCAGACCCCTAAGGGAATGAAAGCAATGATAAGGGCCAAGGCTACCGTATGTTGTCTATATTTTAATGAACAGTCAATGATCCTATCAGGCAATCTCTCTTCTAAATAAATACTATGATGGATGATTCATTATATTTGATTCTCTAGAAAGCGATTTCATTCATTCATTCATTATTTTATAGCGCTCCGATATGCGTGTATAATACCGTAGAACTGTTGGCCTATATGGTGATTGATATGTCATCATCTCTGGTTGATAGATGATCTAACGGCTTTCAACAGCTAGCCTATTAGATTGGCCAACAATGACGATCTGCTCAGACTTCTTTTAGCAGATTGCGTTATCGTCAGACTCACACAGAGCGGAGATGAATCCGTCACGACCCTCGTGCGCGCGACGCAGCGGGTGTGCGGCTTTAAACATCTTTCAACTTTCCTGTTTGTATATCTGTGTTTACCATTGATTCATCTGTAATCATTATTTTATTTTTCCACGGAATTCGGGGGAGGAAAACTGCAGCTTCAATAAAATAATATTATAACGGCTCATTCAACATTGGTTGAAGGCTGTCAGTTCAGGCTGTGTCAGTCCATGGGTGTAATTTTTGAGATTGTCTTAATATAGGCCTATCAATTCGAGCATATAATTGAATGTATTGCCCGATTGTTTTTATATACCGCCATGCCATGGTTTCAACAATTTAATTTGATCAGGTGGACATTGCCTAAATAACAACGGGAGCGATCATGGACACGACTATAGTGATAGGGATAAATAATTTCTAGCCACCACCCTAGCACAATGAATGCAAGTATTATATAAACAATGTGATGGGAGCCATACGATATTGTTAAATCTTAAACAAACATATCAATTGAATCGGAGTAGAAACATGATCGCTAATTGGTTTGTTGTGCCTTGTCCTGGACCTCAATACCCCTTCCTGTCGCCTAGTTCATTTCACTTGTAAAATTTTCGATGGAACGTTTCCAATGAAGCCTAATTCAATTACATATGTAATTTATTTTATTCAATGGACCTCAACAAGTGATCCACAATTATGTAGTGTTTTATTGCGCCTCGACGTGAAACTCGCGCATTCGCCTGACCATG